TCTGAAAATTTAAATGAATAATGTGGCATTAAACTAATGACTACATTTGTGTAACTGACTGTTGTAATACAATGCGACTTCCATGTCCTGAAGGTCGAATGAAAATTCGACCTTCAACTATTATTCAAAGTATCATCATCATCAGCCCTTTTACGTCCCCACGGCAGGGGCTCAGGCCTTCCTAATGAATGGTTAAGGAGGATGGACCATGACCCTCCACGCTGGCCCTATGCGGATTGGAGGGTATTAACGACTGCAAATGCAGCCGGGACCAACGGCTTAACGTGCCTTCCGAAGCACGAAGTAGCTCGAGATAATCATTTTTTTTTCTCCCATCCTGTGACCGACCCTTGCGAAAGTTGCTTAACGACAACGATTGCGGGCCGCGGCGCTTATAGACTACATTAATTGACATCTCCAATAATGGATGGTTTTACATATAATGATTAAGATTTTATATTTAGTTTTAATAACAAGTTAAATATGAATTGTAAATATTAAATCTAAATTAACTCATATGAAGTTAATGAAATTGCTATTTATATTACTTGGTATTTATTAGTATTACTCATTAGTTTGTTTATACATACTTAATCACTTAAAATTAAATTAAAAATCTACTATCACACGTGGACCAGTTATAAGTATGTAAATGTAGCTAGGTATTTAATAAACTTAGCACCTTTTTCAATGGTTTAACGATCTTCCTAGACTATCTTGTGAAAAGAAAAGAAGTATGGTTAGTTTTTGAATTAAGATGTTATGTTTAGTTTTGAACCCGAATTCCAATTTATTCATGTGTCTAATTGACGTCATTTACAGTTGCAGTTTTATTGTTTCCATTTTTTTAGGTATATAAATACAAAACAAGATTGATACGTGTCTCAGATATTCTATCCCTGTGTCATTTTGAAACTCACATCACTTATGCCACGAAACGTTAATACCAATACAAGTTTAAGTGGATGTTACTTCCGAAATAAATTTGGACACCTGAGTAAATCGCGGGGCTGCCCTGTTATTCTGTAATAATCCAAACCAGAATTCGAATTTACTGAGGTTTCCAAATTCACTTCAAAAATCTTGAGACAAGGAAAATTAATTAATTTTATTTTGTATATTATACAAAAAAAAAAAAAATAATCAATAGAATTTATTCACTAAATAAATTCAAATTCGAGTTCGGATTTTTATAGAATCACCTGCTTAACCGTCAATTACCTACAGAAAAGTTGGTTACAGTTTGCTTTCTCATTAATCTAGATGGCACACCGATCACTTGTCTCCGATAAAATGTTTTGCTTACTGCTAGTAATAGTTCCCGTAGTGTAACATAGATGACACTACGGGTCCTCAAAGATGAATAGGGATTTGAACCATGGTGACAACTAGCCCTTGACTAGCGCCATCTATAATGTTATGCATAAATTATATTCTTACGACACGACGAATATGTTAAAAAAGAACTGCTCTGCGATACGGTAAAAATCTAGAACCGAATTCAAATTCACTCATGTGTCCGAATTTTTTAAAGTTTTTTAACAAACTTTATTGTCCATTAAATTGGTACAAAAGGCGGACTTAATGCTATTAGCATTCTCTACCAGCCAATCTTTGGGATACAGAAATACACGATGGCGGCATAAAGTTAACTTATAAATATACTACTTAAACTACACTTCAGAAGAATTAATATACAATTATATAAACATAAATAAATATTATAGTACACATAATTACATATACACATAATTACACCATAAGTACATATACAAATACATAAATATAATACATGTACGATGACGATCTTCATAAACGTTCCAGGAGAAAAGTGTGAGCTTTCCGTTTAAAGACGAATTTCTCAGAAGATCGTCTGGTGTCGGGGAGGCCATTCCAAAGCAAAACACAAATGATTGGATATTCGTATCTCAGATATTATACTCCTATGTTATTTCGATACTCACTTCACTTATGGCATAAAACGTTATTACCAATTCAAGGTTGAGCGGATGCAGCTTTTTGCACTGAATTCACTTTCATTCAGACACCTGAGTGAATTCGATGTCGGGTATGGATTTTTACAGAATAGCATGGCTAGCTCTTGAAGATAAAATAGATGTCGTTGAGTATTTTAAAATCGAGTCCACATTGTCTTAAACTTGTTTCGGTTGTTTGTGGTCGTTTGGCATACACTCATATAGAACATAAGTAAATTCATTGTTTCGATAGTTAAAATCCATTTTTAGGATACATTTTATAGGTAATAATAAAAAAATACAAATAAAAACCCTATTAGGTACTAACATATCTATTGCCTAGAGAAGTAATCACTTGAGAATGTGTCATAAACTCAGGCAGATATTTTTACCAAATTAACAATAATTTGAATGATTTTAATAGTTAGGATACTATAAATTTTGTTCTTACTTCATTAAAATTCTCGTCTTCTCGCATTGAATTAAAATTATTAATTATTACTTCATTACTTCTGCGCGACTATAGATACAACACTCGTATCCATAGCCCTTTCAAATAAAAAGAAAAGATTTATCAATTCAGTCCATAATTGAAGAAGAGTGTAAAAATAGAAGTCAATGATTTACGAGATGAAAAATCAAATCGGTTTTCTTTTAGTTGTTTTTCAGGTAGGCGGTTTTTTTATCTTTAATATGAGGTTGACTGGTAGATAATGTTATTAGTATTAAGGATGCCTCTTGTAGAAATTCAATGGTCAATAAAGTTTGTTAAATAAATAAATTATAAAATCCGCATAATTGAGTTAACCTACAAATAATTACAATTTGGTATCTGTAATCGTCATTACTTAGTAGTTAGTAGGTATTCATAATTCAATAATATTATATTATAGATAAGAAATGTTTTTATAGATAACTATAGCATTATCGAGAGAGTATACTTGGTATCAAAATGTTCAGATATGTTAAAAACTTAATTATACTATAAATTTTGTACTTATTAGTTACCTATATGGAATAATTGTTTAATGTTTACCACCCATGCTCTGCTATACCATGTGACAAATCTTACTGAATTTAAAATACATTACACCGAAACTCACCATAATCAAAACACAAGCCATCACGACATGATGAGTCACGCAGGAGCGGCAAATATTATCGTCGCCGATTGGATGGAATTCAATGCGCCACACAAAACGCGATAAGAATGCGAAAACGCTAGAACTTTCGAGTTAGCCACTGAAATCGAAACTAAACCGAAACTCGTTATTAAGCCGAAACTCGACCGCAACCGAACATTTGGACGGACACTACAAAAATTATAACATTAACAAAAGTCACAACAAGTCTAAATAAGTAATATGTACATACATAAATGTACATATTTAAATATATATGGATATGGCTTATTGGTGAATTTTCATTTGGCGCAGAGCAGACCAATTCCAACTAAGGGCGAATATACCATTAAAATTTACAATGAGTCTTATTGCAATAGCTATAAGGTGATAAATGTAAATCTCACAATGGGCGGGATCAGGCAGGCGTGCGGATCTCCCGATAGCCGTTACTTGAATCTTTCTGATTGGTTGAAATTTGTCGCGCCTCGAAAGTTTACCTTCTGTACAGTTACAGATTTCTTGTATTAAAGCCGATCTTTTGAATTGATACAATATAGCATTGAAAAAACGCTAAAATAGGTACTTAAATAAAGCTATGCTTTCACAACGCTTTGATAGCGACACCGCTTATGTAAATATAATATTGTAACTGGAATTTGGAACTACTTAATGTTGCTTTTTACCGTGTCATTACAATTTTTGCATACAGAAATAAATTGTGATTAAACCACGTACCTATATGTTTCTGTAAATCATATTTTTTAATCAGATATTATTCCGTACTATTATCTATGAGGAGAAATTTAAAAATACCATAATTGTCGTATTTAATAGGCATCCATAGATCGGATCGAACATTCACTTGTTTTATCGTGACCTAGATTTATTTTTCGCGGAAGTAACTTTTCTGTGTCATCTTACGTGTTTGAGTGACTTAAAAAAAGGATAGAACTACGACAGACACAGAACGACAGATGACCTTAAATAGAAGTACTTTAATGCGCCGCAGCGGACCTTTGCGTTTACCTTGCGCGCCCGTGCCCATATAACAAGAAGATGAACCTTGGGTAGTGGTCTCTACAGTTGAAATTCATAACTGAGAGAGGATGAGTACTATCAGTTTCAAAAAATGGCTACGCGCATCATGAATTTGGTCAACTCTACGATCTTGCCACGACCTTTAAACTTGGAAACCTATACTAACGTGCTTACATAATATGAACGATTAAATGTAATAAAATAAGATTTGTGAAAATTATCAACATGAAAATCTTAGGTTAAGACCTAGCAATACCTGTCCTTAATAAATTATTAGCTACTGATGAAGCGGAAAACACAAATTAATTCGTAATCAAAACAACTTGAATTTGAACATTTTTATCCATTAAAATTTCAAAAATATAATATTTACTTAAATACTAATTTTCAGAGATATACAATAAAACATTTTGTAAATAATATTAAGTGAATTTATTACAATGACAAATCAGATTGTAAACAATGTTTGCTATGGTAACATTTCGATTCCCCATAAAATCTTTCACTCGCATTTTTATCCCTATAAGTGTTAGTTTTCGGGATTCGGGCCCCTTTTTGAACGGTTAAGGCTGTGTGTTGTCTATCAGTCAGTAAGTCAGGACATCTCCTTTTATATAATATAATGTGAATCTATTCAGAAATAACCGACGAAGAATTTAAATAAAAATCAAGTCTTTATTAATCAACTAATATATTTCATAAAAATTCAAACGCATACATAGCATTATAAAGCTCCACAAATCAAACCATCCATTACTTAAATCTACACAAATTTGTAATCATTAGATAATAATATATTACGGACGAAAATATTATTGTCAGACAAAAGACTTCCAATTCAGTGATTTGACCACCGTTACATTCAAAATCCCCACGGTCTAGAAACTCGACCCTCACCTTCACCATCAGGACCAAATGAAAGTATAGGCCTTCTAGGGACTGAACGTCTGTTTGGCTTTAACGATACTGGCATCCAGTAAGCTGGAATGGCTTGTCCAATACCACGCACAGTAGTAGTATTTGATTGCGTTATAGAGGAAGACGTGTAGTTGTGATAATTTGTATAATTTATGCTCAAAGAATAGTCTTGTGGTGTTCTCATATTGCTTGTACTAGCAATGTAACTGGAAGTAGGATACAGCTGAGCTGCATGAGCAGGTTGCATTGACCTCAACGGCTGGTATATTTTCTGACAGACCGAAACAGGGTTAATACTTACACCGGAACTCGCAGCAATAGATTGTTCATTACATTGCACTTTGAATTGATTAAATAATTCATAATCAGATGGCATGATCTCTAGTCTGTTTTGATGAATTCTTGAACATAAATGAAATGTAGTTCACTTGGGATCTTTCATATTCTTTTGCCATATACAAATTTATCCCTTTACAATCCATACTGCGTATTAAAAAAAATCTATGGAATTCGGTATGAAAATCAGGAGAAATGTATATTGTTATGCTGGAGATTATCAAAATTTTATTTTCAATAAGTTTGAATCAATGCGTCATGAGAAGAAAAAAGAGTTTTCCGATCATATTAATATACTGCGTGATTTGCTCACCAGTTTAGCTTATATAAGCTTTTGACATAGTCATGGCACGATCTATTGCAGTTTTATAAATTTTGTGCCAGTTTTAACATCTATTGTCCTCATCATATCTGTGTACCATGTATCAACAATAACTTTTATTGTCATGTGATTGTGCCCTTTATCAAAACTCAGTGTACATTTTTGGCAGATCAAATAAGTGCATCGTTTACAGAAAAGAAATTACTGCCCCGACGTGGAATTCACAAAAAATAATATCGATGTCATTGGTGATAGAATTACATGTAACGCCGATGGGCGGCTGTTGAAATTGCACTTTGAATTGATTAAATAATTCATAATCAGATGGCATGATCTCTAGTCTGTTTTGATAAATTTATGTATTCTTGAACATAAATGAAATGTAGTTCACTTGGGATCTTTCATATTCTTTGCCATAAACAAATTTATCCCTTCACAATCCATACTGCGTATTAAGAAAAAAATCTATGGGATTCGGTATGCAAATAAGGAGAAATGTATATTGTTATGCTGGAGATTTTCAAAATTTTATTTTCAATAAGTTTGAATCAATGCGTCATGAGAAGAAAAAAGAGTTTTCCGACCATATTAATATACTGCGTGATTTGCTCACCAGTTTAGCTTATATAAGCTTTTGACATAGTCATGGCACGATCTATTGCAGTTTTTATAAATTTTGTGCCAGTTTTAACAACTATTGTCCTCATCATATCTGTGTACCATGTATCAACAATAACTTTTATTGTCATGTGATCGTGCCCTTTATCAAAACTCAGTGTACATTTTTGGCAGATCAAATAAGTGCATCGTTTACAGAAAAGAAATTACTGGCCCGACGTGGAATTCACAAAAAATAATATCGATGTCATTGGTGATAGAATGACATGTAACGCCGATAGGCGGCTGTTGAAATTGCACTTTGAATTGATTAAATGATTCATAATCAGATGGCATGATCTCTAGTCTGTTTTGATGAATTTATGTATTCTTGAACATAAATGAAATGTGGTTCACTTGGGATCTTTCATATTCTTTGACCATAAACAAATTTATCCCTTTACAATCCATACTGCGTATTAAGAAAAAAATCTATGGAATTCGGTATGTATTTGCATACTTGGGATCTTTCATATTCTTTTGCCATATACAAATTTATCCCTTTACAATCCATACTGCGTATTAAAAAAAAAATCTATGGAATTCGGTATGAAAATCAGGAGAAATGTATATTCTTATGCTGGAGATTATCAAAATTTTATTTTCAATAAGGTTGAATCAATGCGTCATGAGAAGAAAAAGGAGTTTTCTGATCATATTAATATACTGCGTGATTTGCTCACCAGTTTAGCTTATATAAGCTTTTGACATAGTCATGGCATGATCTATTGCAGTTTTATAAATTTTGTGCCAGTTTTAACATCTATTGTCCTCATCATATCTGAGTGCTATGTATCAACAGTAACTTTTATTGTCATGTGATCGTGCCCTTTATCAAAACTCAGTGTACATTTTTGGCAGATCAAATAAGTGCATCGTTTACAGAAAAGAAATTACTGGCCCGACGTGGAATTCACAAAAAATAATATCGACGTCATTGGTGTGGTGGTGGATGGGCGGCTGTTGAAATATTGGAAGAAGCATGTGTTCCCTCAACTGACATTCAGATATTTTTTTGCGACAACAGTCATAGCAAAAAAGGGAACTGCATTCGTAGCAATCCGTTGTTGCTAAACTTATTCGCAGCGAAAACACATCAAAGGGACTGTAGTGAATATGCCGGAGGAATTGCTACTGCTAGTCGTTCTAGCCCTAACATACGAAGAGCCAATAGCACCGAAGGAGTTTACTATACCTCTGTTCCGAGGCAGTGTATCAACATCATACGGCACCGACTGGACTGACTACACGGTGTCAGTTGGAAACGGATTCCTCATTGATTCATTGACAAGATTACAATTGTAATGTCTTATGGCGGTGGACTGCTCCGATTCCTTTGAGCTATTGCTTGATGTGGCGTTGCTGCCGAGGTTGATGTTCATCCCAGGAATTGTGTGATATTGCTGAACGATGCCATCTTGTAGTGTACACATCACGTGATAATATCTGTAAAAAAATAAAATTCATACAAATATTAATGTAAGGAAACGTCGTAATCGTTAAGTGTGTATTAAGTTTAGTACTATATCAAAACTTTTTCATTACAAAATTTAAGATTCTCAATCCTATGTGTTGAGGATCGTCAGCTGAACCGACCTTTTTTATACGTTGTCTTTGTTTTTATAGTTTTTTTTTTATTATATTTGATTTTTATTTAATTTTGTTTTTGTATTGACATATGGATGATTATTGATTGTCACGTGCTTTGACGAGGATATTTGTTTTGTGGACAATATAGTTTTTGAGAAGATAAGTTGTTTATTTTCGCATCTGTGCCCACACCATTCCTCGTCACCCTCTTCGTCGATAACACTATGAGTAAAAAAACTCATAAAATTCTTTTTAAAAGTTTGATTACCACAAATGACATTTGAAGCCACCATTTTTGAATTTGCTATATTAACTGCTATATTAATTTTTCCTATGCAAACCTTCAAACCATATTTATATGAATAATAAAAACTTTCTTACATCTCCTAGGAAATAATTACAATAGAAGTTTTATAATTGCTTCCAGTGTAAATATTCAGATTTCTATCTTTAAATAATTTTGAATAAATAAAGAATAAACAGAAAGCATTACATAAAACGAATTGCAGTTATTTATCATATCATTAAAAATACTTAAGATTCTTAGGGACTAAGTATCCTTAGAGGTTTTGGACTTTTATTAATAGCTAAGTTCTAGAAACTCTTTATAATTTTAATTGTTTTTATTTACGAAACACTTAGATGATAAACAAATTATGCTGCCGCGCTGAAAATTTTATTTTATTTATCTTGTTACTTTTATAAAATGACTTACTTTAAAAAATACATACATATATTCGTAAAAGCATTTCATGTGAGAATTATGTAGATTTTGAACATGAAAAATATGGCAAATAATATGACAATAATCTAACTAGTTGAATATTAACAGAATAAAATAAATTAAACAAAAATGTAATAACCAAATTAATCTTTTATTATTTACCAATACCGGCAAGTGTTATTAAGAATATTTCCCGGGAGTTTCGATGCTGATATAAACCGGTAGCAAGTCCTATTCAGTAGCTTAGTGTGTAGGTTTCAGTCAGTAAGACATTTTTCATTGTTATTTAATGTTTATAAATATTAAAAATTATCATTTTATTTAAATTAAGAACAATACGCCATCTATTGATTTGTTAACATAATGTAGTATTGGAACTGAATTCTTATCTTATTTAACGTAAGATTTACTTAACCTTCATTATTTAGACTACCTAAGACTGATTTGATATGATCTGACACAAAATATGATGTTAAATATATCTATTTAATTATTTTATTTTTATAATATAATTTTATTTATCTTCAGTTCAGGCACTTCTTATATTTACTGTTTTCATTTTTTAATATCCTGATCCTGATCCAAACAATTTAAACTCTTTATTACAATAACAAACTTATTGTACATATTGATTTTTCAAATATAAAATAATAAATATAAGATAAGCATTGTGCCACATTTGAAGACTGATACGTGTTGACTTTCAACATATATTAAAGATTAAATTAGAGCCACTTTTTGTTTAAAAAGTTAAACTTTTAGATCATATAATTAACATTGATTTGGGTTTTTGGGGACTAAGAACTTTTTAATTCTATTGATTCCTGAAGGCTGTTTGTATTATTGAAAGTCAAAATGTTGTAAGATTCACACACTAATCACATTTTCTGGAATTGCTAGACCAGCTGAAACTGATTTGATAATTTTGGATGGATATATTTCATCTATGTATTTAAATGCATAAAAATAAAACGCTAAATATATATATTTTTATATACATATCATCATTATGTAGATCTATTATTTGTTTCGTTTTGGCGTTACCATTTTAAATTTTATGGTAATAGAAATCAGACAATTTATTTACTATCGATTAATTAAAAAAATATGAACATTTAAGATAAATCTGTGTCTCCTATGAAAACTTAATCATCTTTAACATTTTAACTTTTCACTAGAGTTATTAAATATTTTTATACTATGATTTATTTCCACTTGATTTCATTAGTTGTTTGATAAGGATTTCGATATTGCTCAAAAACTGAAAGTTATTATAAATTTGATGAACTAGATTATGGAGTATAAAGAGATATACAGAAAGATGTTGATGATAAAAATAGTTTAAATATTATTGACTCTTTTACTTGTATTATACTATCACTGGAACTAAGGATTGTATTAAAAAAGCAAATTTGATACAACTCGAGTTGTATCAGTGTTCACGGGTTTAATCGATAGGTCTTTAATATTAAAGTGGCAGTAAAACATATAAGTACATACCCAAAAACTTCAATAACAAGAATCCAACACGCACAGAATTCGTATTTTTTTAATAAAAAGAAACAATTCGAAAAGTGAATATTTGATGCACAGGTTTAACGTGTACTCCGAACGGTGGTTGCACTTGAACAGACTTCTTCTTCCTTGACCTTCGATATTTATACGCAGATTGCGAAAAAGTTCATTGTTAAATATTTTATGCACTCTTTCCCTCTCGTGGTGGTGAATGAGATAGATATACTTAATA